CAGGAAACTACCCATTCGGATTTTTATAAGCCCAAATTAAAAAGAAATTACTTGATACAAATGAAAAGGTTTATAACCTGCAACCTCCTTTACCCAAAGCATTGCTTTTTGCCCAGAATAAACATATCGTATGCAATATATAGTGCTTTCTTTTACACCTCTACTCCAAAAATTAAAGGGCCACAAAACGGTGCCCCCCCACTTGTGAAGTGAAAACAAGAAGGGGGCAGGCCCATCCTCTCGTTCATATCTGCCCCCTGTGAGGTCTCCTGCCTCCCTGGCAGAGCTGTGCTCCTCTCTGTAATACATTCTCCAGAGGTTAGCTTTGTTTAGTTTAAATTATTAATGCAGCAGAGCTTACAGGTTTTCCTCGGAGAGGCTTTTCCAGCCCTTATAGACCTCACAGTCAGAAAGGTTTCCTAATATTCAGGCAACATCCTTCTCTACTTACTTTCATTTTTTTCCTCCTTGTTTGCCCACAGATCACAGGGAAAAAAAAAACCCTTTCCTTCTTAGCAGAGCAGCCCTCCCATGGGAGTAAAAGGAGAAAAAGGAATCCACTTTAAATGGAGCTGGATGGGTTGTAAATAGGATTAGGGGTCATGGTTACTTGGGGTAGCTGAGTTCTGAGCCTGACATTTCAGGAGAGCCACTCCAATCCTATTACTTATGCCACTGCGGCTACTGGGCTTGAGGTGTGGGAGCAGTTGGCATTCACCAGTGTGGGGAATGAAAAAGGAGATCTATGCAATGAGAAGGGTAATGCTCCAAAAAAATGAGACTCCCTTCATTTTCTTCCTGCCCTTTTCCTGAGAGCTCATCAGCCTGCTCAGGACTGCAGCAGTCTGTGACACTGACACTGGTGAAGGTGTCACAGGAGGAACTCTAAACAGAGGAGACCCTTTTACCTCTACCACCAGGAACCCTCTCTGGCCCCACACTTCCTGCTCTGTGCTGCGACACTGCTGGCAGAGGGAAAGGTGCTGCCAGTGGGCATGGTGCAAGGCTTGGGTACCGGGTAGGTCACGAGTGGGACCAGGATGGAGGCATGCAGCATGCACAGTCCTGAGAGGAGCTACGCAGGACAGAGCACAGGAGCAAGGTCACCAGTACCAGGCTGGTAGGTAGGTATTGCTTATGTTTCACATCATGATACCAGCGTTGTCTGTACCATGGCAGGGCAGGGAAAGGGTGGGTTGTACCACAATGCGGACAGAAGAGACAGAGGGTGATTCTGGTACTCACGTCATAGACAGGAGGTGGTGGTGGTGGTGGGCTGGCTGGAGGCGGCTGTGTTTCCACCTTCTGTCTCAGGATATTTACCCGGTTCCTCCTAGGGCACAACACCTGCTCAGGACAAGACACCAAATGACACATATGGAGAAAACACCATCTCCCCAAAGATGAAGAGAACACCAGTGCTAAGTCAAAGCCAGCTGCTCGCACACCCCCTGAGTGTTTCCACAGCAAAGAGTGCTGGCACCCTCTGCAGAATGCAGGCCAGTCCCTTTCCTCACCACGGGGTAAAACAGAAGAGTCTGACTTACACTGGAGCAGTGGAAGGGAGAACCGGCCCCTGTGCATACATAGAAATCACTTCCACTGCTGAAACTCTGCCGGACAGAGGCTTTAACTATTTAATACCAAACAACAATACTGTAGGACAGAGAGTAAAACAGGGCCCTGTTCAAAGTGTGTGTGGGAATTTCAGAGAGGCAAAATGCAGTGACTTTCATCAGGATTTGGCCAGGAAGCTTTTGCTAATACGCAGAGTCTAGAGAAGAGCACCAGACAACATCAGTGATAACATACAGTCAGTGACACACTAATGTGCAAGTCCAGCATGGAGTTGAAGGAAAATGGTCTCTTCCTTTGAAACATTTCTTGCATTGGATGAGTTCTCCTGGAACATGCACCATTCACGCACAGATAAGGGTTAGCCCTACTCAGCAAGCAAGAGAGCAGGCAGAAAAGGCAGAAGGCTTTGCTAAGTGTCTCTGTTCTAATTCAGAAAGAAGTGGGATGATTATATTCACATCACATGAAAACGATGAACTGCTTTCCAGTCCATTAGTAACTAAGGAGGATGCTAAATAGCTTCTCTTAAAGATAAACATTTTTAAACCAGCAGGTCTGAGCAAGCTGTGGTGAGAAATATGGGCTGTGTTCTGCAGGGGGGCAAATGTAATGACTGCACGATCTCTTCGCACCCCAAGGAGAGCCTGTAGGTCTGAGACATGCTGGCCCACCTCAAAACCTAGAGATGCCAATCGGCAAGTCGTGACAGTGCCTTGCTCCTCATCCCCATGGAGACACTGTCTAGGCAAGCAGAGATAGGGGCCTGTCTCCAGCCTAGTCACTCTGCCGCTTACGCTCCTTCCCCCTCCATCAGACTGCCTGCAAGGTAAATCTCACGAGATTAGCAGGTCTGCCAACTGCTGCCATTCTGTTTTCAACCTCATGATCTCTAACTGTGTGTGCTGAAGCCTGATGCTCCTTGGAGTCATAGGACTGTACCAGCAGCACAGCCTCCACATAAAAATGCAAGCAGAGAGTCTGCTGTTGCGGTGGCAGAGAGCAGCTTGAAAGAGTAAATACGGGGCATACTCTACCTAGAAAACAACAATCCCCAAACTCTGTTCTAAAAGACATCAGGTTTTTTTAAGCCATGCTTGCGATCTCTGGAAGAATGCAGAGGATGTGATTTGAATGCCTGAGAGCGGCAGTACTAGGAGCAGTAGGTTTTCCCCAAACAACAGGGATTCCAGTATCACGACTCCAGAGTTTTTTCCACAGGGCCCCTGTCTCAGCCAGATCTTTCAGCCCTGCTTTTGGCTTTTCTTCTCCTCCTCTCTGCACCCTTCCTTCCCCACTCCTGGTTTCCCCTTTGCCCTCAGCTACTCATCCCAGCTTCCACTTCTTTACCTAGCTGGTCCCAACCTGTGCCACTGGTCTGCTCACCTGAGGAGCCCTGTCAGTCCAGTCTTAACATCCTCCTCCAAGCTCCAGTGCTTCCTCGCTCCGTATTCCAGTCCCAGTTTCCCTCCCGAGCCTCACAGAATCACTGCTGTTGAAAGGTGCCTCTGGAGATTCTCTAGTCCAATCCCCCTCTGCTCCAAGCAGAGTCAGCTGAAGCAGGTTGCTCCTCAGGTCCCTGTCTCTCTCTTTTTTCCAGTTAGTTGGGACTTCCGCACAGGCTTCCTTGGGATCCTTGTCCTGACCTTCCCCTCTCACTGGGGAGATGTTTTCTCTGCCAAACACATACCAAAGGCTCTGGTCCCCATCCCCGCCATGCTGCAGATTGTTTTCTTCTATGGTGCCCAAGCCATGACTCAGCAACGCAGTTGCACCGTCTCCTTGCAATCAGATTGTGCCCTTGAACTGGAGTAGCCCTCATCTTGAAAGATGATTAGAAATAGGGAAAGTCCTGCCCTCCTCCTGCCACCAGAGCTGCAAGAGCCTTGCTTGGGTGCACGGGATGTTACCTGTCTGACTCGCACTGTGCGGAAAGGCAGCCTTGCAGGGGCTCCTTTAGACAACTACGCTGCTAAATTGACAAGAGCCACCACTGAGCATGCACAAACTGCAGCTGTCCAAAGACCCACCAGAAGGCCATCTTGAATATTCCTAGGGCCAGCACACTGCTAGTGTGATTTCTTGCCCTGTGCCAGATCCTTGCTCTAAAGCAGAGCATGCCAGAGTCAAAATGATTACCAGAATTTCTTTAATGGACAAATCAATGACTCATTTTGTCTTTCCTGTAATCTTTTTTCTCAGAAAGACTGAACTTAAAAAAAGAAAATAAACCTGAAGCAGACACCCAGCATGGAAAATTTCAGCACAGGGACGTCCAATCCAGCCAAGTTAGAAGGAAGTGAAATAAATTCCTAGAATGGGTTGTGTCAGGTACTGGTTTTTTTTTTTTGTTATAACTTGCCTTTCTCTTCCACAGAAGCAGAGCTGTTGCAGTGATGCTCTACATACCCTGTACCTGTAAGAAAGAAGGCAAAAGATTCATAGTGTGAGTGGAAGTTACAATCCTGCTGTATTTCCAGCCCTGGAAAGAGCCCCAAGGGAGCTAAAATACAGAAGCAGTGCAGAATACAGTGGCACAGATGCACACACCCTGCAAAACCTAGTCTGACTGAACGGAGAGCAGGGTGCAGCTGAAGAATCACACAAAAGAGACAGGATATAAGCAGCTGCACTTCATGTAGATCAGAGAGGGGTAACGTAACTATGAGAGCCAAGAAAGGTGGTAGTTAGAGGCTGGCAAAGGTCTTTAGTGACAGGGGCAGAAAGACACATTGTGGAAAGCACACAGACCACACAGACTAGCAGGGTGGGTACTGTAGGCATCCTCTGACCAGTGTAGCAAAGCTGTTTTGTCATGGGTCTTTGCATTTACACTTCCTAAGAAGTTTTTCATATCCAGCATTCAGTAATGCAAATCCAGCCAGTCAGCAGCACGCATGTCCTTATCACTTTTCTATAACATTCCTCATACCATGACCTGAAGCTCTCCCTTGCTTTCCAGTCTGTGCATTAACAGAACAACTGACCCCTTGTACCGCACGGAAAAGGGGGAGGGATTATGGTGAGCCCCTAACAGTAACCACCTAACCTGTACATCTGATTACGGTGAGCGCCCTAACCACTGACCTTGTGTTCAGCCGTCTCTGTCACACTGCTAAAGGTCAAACCACACTGCCTTCTGAACACAGACACCTAAAAGCACCCTCAGACCCAGCGCCCAGGCTCCCTGGTTAGACCCTGACTTTACGCCTGCTGTTCCCAAGGGGCTGTGGCAGGGCAGATAAAAATCACTGCATTTTCATGTCCCCATCTGTGCACTGGGAACATTAGTGCAGGTCACCTGTGTAAAGTGCATGAAACTCTGATGGCATTAAGTAATGGGAATAAAGTATTATTCCCATCTGACTTTATAGTGTGTTTGGGTACAGGAAAGGAAGAGCAAAGATCATCTTTTCATAGCCAGATCCAGCTGATTTTTAACCAACTGCCTTTCCTTTCTGGTTGTTCACTCACCTCTTGCAAGGACAAAAACTCCCTTTCCCTTTTCCTGGATGTCATTCCATTTGACCTCACAGTAGTATGTGCCAGTAGAAGGGGTGTTTTCAAATGGCATGATTCGGTAGTTGTAAGGTATGGTAGCAGTCTGATTCTCTTTTCCAGAAGGGATGTCTACATTTTCCGACCTACTATAGATGGATGTTTTCTGGCCCAGTGAATTAATCCAGTAATAGGAGATTGCAAATTTGGTGTATTTCGGCATGTAAGGAAAGATGACTTCGCAGGGGATGGATATTCCTTCCTTGAGCAGTGCAACTTGGATTGGAGGTTTCTGCTGTACCTGGACACTTCCCCCTGCAAGGGTAATAATTGTTAGCAGCCACCTAACATCACTTTAATTCAGGAGAGGACTGCTGCCCCAAAGACAGGATCACACGGTGAAAATAACCGTATGTCAGGAAGCACGTCCGTAGCACGCAGTGTTGGCCCTTGTCAGAAATTGAGTGATTCAGAGCATGTGCCCTCTGTGATCTGCCACATCTCTTAGGTAATTGCTGTGTGATTTGCGATAGCCTGTTGCATTCACAGGCTTCCCCTTTTCCCTTGTGAGCTCCTCCATACAACGCCAGCACGCAGAAAGACAGGAAATGAAGCAGGAAGTAAACCGATTTTGCAGTGGTGTGAGACTGTATTTACAGCGGATGAATAGAAAGCAATTTTCCAAGACAAACGCTAGCTGGACATCTCCTGAAACTCCTGAGTTAGTTACAAACCTCTGCTTGGCCGTCTGCGTGTGCCCATGCAATGCCAGTGCAGGTGCTGCGTGCAGGCAGGTGTTACTGGTGGCACTGCATGTAGCTGAAGCACAAGTGAGGAAGGAAATTGCATATTCTGTACAGGGGCCAGCACCAGGGCCATGAGAAATAAGGCACAGCTTAATCACTCCAAACTTCTGCTGCCGTAAATGGGCAGCAAAGCACAGGGCTCCGTGCTAGCTACAGGAACTATCTGCAGCAGACTGCAGATCTTAAGTATCTCTATATGACAGTATCTCGGACAGAGAGATGGGAGATCATGCCCTTTGTGTGCTTCCTCCTTACACAGACAGGGCTGTTGAAAGTAATCTCTCACTGCAGTTCAATAGGCAACGATGTTGGGAGTTCCAAGAGGCGATGAATAAGCACAGGTGGAGAACCACACCATAGTTCACTCCCTGTTTTGTTTAACAAAAAAATTAAAAAAGCTAAGAGTGAGCCATGAGCTAGTAAGGAGCCTGGGGCACAGGACCTCTTTGGCTTCCCAGCCAAATCTGGGTTTAACATCAGGCAGTCTCTGGATCTATTCGTCTGGCAGCTGACGTAACACCACACATAAAGCAACTTACGAGGAGGCCCATGCAAACCACTGTTGTCTTTAAAAAAGGGAACTGGAAACTTACACACAAGTCTTCTTACAAAATGAAGGATTCTTTCAGAGACATGAAAATAGAAGGGGAAAAAAAAAGTATAGAGAGAAAGTAGGGGTTGGGCAGGCTTTTTCATACATGCTTTTGATGGGATTCCCTGGGGTTCTGCATCTATGAACAGGCTCATAACAAGGCATTAAAGCTGTCCCAGAGCACAGCCAGGCTTGCTTTCCTGTCATCGTGCACTAACGCTGCATCGCAATCGCAGCATCACCTCTGCACAGCGGGACTCGGAAAAGGCAACTAAATCCTATACAGATGACCTAGCCAGGGACAATAGCCTGAGAGTAAGGAAGAGCTTAGGTTACATCACTAGAAAAAGGTTCTTAGCTGTAAAAGCAACCGAGATACAGCTAAGGGACATGCTCATGCGTTGTGAGTCCACAGTCCTGTGTATACTAGATACAATATTATGGAAAGAAGGAACAGAAAATCCTGCAGACAGCGTGGGAGTGATAACCCAAGCAGTCTCTTCTGGGCCTTATTTTTTAAAATCATTCATCATTCTTCTCATCTCTACCCAGCAGAACACACATGAATACAGTTTCTATACAAGACATGGCTACGCACTGCTGTAACAAAACAGAGGAGAGATCCATCTTCTCACAGTATCCCAGGAGCCATTAGCTTGAGAAGAACATGCCAGGGAAAAAGCCAAACCATTTTATTTAGGTTATCTAACCCTTCTCCCATGTTCCTCCTTTCTTGAGGATTCTCTCTCTCAGCTTTGAAATGCTTAAAAGACAGAAATAGCAGCAGCGTGCAAATTCCTAGAGGGGATCTCTGGAAATTAGCAAAAGATAGCAGCTGGAAACTCTCTAACATGAATAAACGTGAGAGTAAACAAAAGGAATAAAAAAACGCTTTTTTACCTCCACACTGAAGCAACGAAAGAAACAGGAAGATGACTTCTAAATTAGAGGCCATGATGGGGGTCAAAGGCTGTAAGAAAGCAACCAGATATGAAGATCCAAAAGGCATAACAGCAGGGGGTTTGTCAGGTATTTCCACGCCTGGGCAGCTGGTTGATCCCCTCCTGTTGGTGAAGGGACGGGTGGCATGGACACACACCGCTTTTGGCAAGCCGTTCCTGGCAGATGCCGGCTCTTCTGCTTTCTGGTCAGACTCCTCCCCACACTGGGGTTCATTTCTCTGTACTGTTGCGATGGTGTTACACCTACCAGCGGGTGTCCAAAGATTAGACCGTAAGCTCTTTAACACATAGAGCTTTGTCTCCTGATGACTGTAAAATATCACACGTATTTCAGGCAAACTTTGTCACCTTCCACAGTGACCAAAGCCCCATGTTGGAATACAGAAAAAACTGTGTTTGGACTGATGCAGATCGAGGCCATTTGAGGTGAATGTGATCAAATTCAGGGAAGGATTCAAGTGATTCTGGAGCAATGAACAAGCTTACAAGTGGCACAGTGGCTTTTTTACCATAATTTTGCAAGGATTTATTTACCCAGTTGTTTCGGATCAGCTGTTCCTGATGATTTCGCTGCATGGACCATTCAGGTTCTGGAATAATTATCTTAATCGAGTGCTTTGTTCACATAGGGAAGCTACCGAGCAGCGCCACAGGGTGTGGGTTCAGGGCAGAGTAGCACTCTCAAACTCCTTCTTTACGTAAACACTCCAGTGTGGGATCACCTGTTTTGCCTTTAACATGGAAAACAAGAACCCGCACCAGCAGTCAGTACGGAGGAATGGCTCCACTGTCCTCCTGACTGCACAAAACTTCCCTCCACAGCCAACTCGTCCACTAGGTCACTCTGGAGGCAGGCACTCACCCGTATTCCAGAAGTGAGAACAACCAGACAGTGAATTCATCCCTAACAGCTGTGATGTTTCAGATCCACACGATGCTGGCTCTGAATCTGCTTTCCAATGCAGGCAAACCTTAAGAAATCTATTGAACGGAAATCTAAGGAGAGCCCTTTGAAGAAAACCCTTTCTTTGTGGCAGGATCCCGCCGCCTATTACTCATGAAGTGTCTTTGATTTCAATGAAAGTGTGTTTTTAGCTGCGACATCTGCAATGCAACAGCTGAGCAGTGTCTGACTCAAAAAAACCCCGACGTCTGAGAGGTCTTCACTTCTCTCTAGGCAGCTTCCTCCTTCAGCGCTTCTTGCGAGACATTTGCACTGTCCACAAGAAAGCACTTTGCTGCAGTTTCAAGAGTGCCTGCTCACACGGGGCACTGGGCTGTGGAGGCTGGCGGGGGATGGGCATGCTGGGAAAGACCTGCGAACGTAGATGAGCCTGTAAATTGCACGTAGTCAAAACCACTCTTCATCTGTTGTTTTACCCCTCCAGAGTTTGTAGGAGCAAGGTTTGCTCCAAAGGAACCTTTGGTTTGCAACATTTTTCCTCCTGTTCAGCCTGGGAGGGGTCCTCAGGAGGAAGGGGTCTTGACACAGGAGGCGGCATGCAGCTGCTGCCCCCCGAGCCCAGGGACAGCTCCGGTACCTTGCTGAGAGCCCTGACAGATGGGGAGAGGAGCAAGTGGCTTTGTGTGGCTCTGCAACGCTGGTTGGTGCAGCAGCTGCACTCCTCCGGGGAAGGTTTAGCTCAGATTAGCCAAAACCAACTCCTCTCCCCAAGACAGGCTGCCGTGAGCTGCACAGGGCTGGTCTCAGCTGGAAATCGCTCCTCGCAGGTCTTAACGCTGAGCAGCAAGGACAGTCAAGAGCAGTAACAAGACACTTGGGGCCCGCTCGGTATTTCAGATATGTAGGCACAGATCAGGCAGCTGTGGCTCTGGGGGGCTGTGGGGTTACAACAGTTCTCAGCAGCATTTCTCAGGCCCGAACGGCATCTCAAGGTAGCTGGGGCAGGGAGGGAGAAGGGGGCAGGGGCTTACTACCCTCCTGTGGAAGAACTCCGCTGAACAGCGAGAGCTTCCTCAGCTCCTATATCACACTCATCCCCACGGTAGCGCACAGCTTTGCAATCTGCAGCATTGATGTATTTCTAGCAGACAGAACATGCTGCTTCTGTCAGTGATGTGTTTTAACTGTTATCAGCATTTATCTGCTTCAGGAATTCAGAGCGATAAGTGGATTAAGTGCGGTAGGTTTGTAGGGCTGCTAGGTCAACAACCTCCTTCCGTCGTTTCCCTTCTCTTCCTATAAACAACGCTCTTGCCACTCTAAATGCCAAGTCCTACAAATATCGCTGTCTGGAATTGAAAAAAAAAAACAAAAACATAGATCTAGCATTTCAAAAGAGATCACATGTAAGACTCAGCTGCGGGATTAAAGGCATGGCCAGTCCAGAAATACATTCACTGCTGGAATTTGCTATGGTAGAGCTTGCTGAAAAGAAATGGCTTTGATACGACTACCCAGCAGCTATTAACTGCAAGACAGAGTGACATTCTGTTCCTTAGAGCCTAAAGGGAGCCTGAATCCTTGAATGTTAAATTCTAATTCAATTTGGTCTGGGGATTCTGGACCGGGTTTTAACTCTGGAGACATAAATGGGAGGAATGTGAGGAAAAGCTGGGGAGCTGTGTATTTCTATCAAGAGCCTGTAGCAGGGCTGAACTGACCCCCCCCGAAACTTACGTGGAACTAACCAGGATACCTGTGCCAAAGGAAATCAATGACAAAGCTCCAAAGGAATAGGTCATTGTACGACCTTCACTCAAGCGCTTCACAGTGCGCCGCTGCACGTGAGCTGGTCCCTGCAGCACGACAAGGAAGGAACCGCCAGCCTGGCTGTACACTCAGGAGCTGTTAAAAGCCCGCGGCGGTGGCCAGCATTCCCAGCCATGAGGAAAAGCGCATTGTTCTGGACAAGTTTGGGCAAGTGCTGAACCTACCAGAACTGCCTGTTCGCAGCTGTGCCCGACGCACACCCACAAGGAAAGGCAAGCACACACACATGCCCGCACATGCCGCCACCGCCAGCTCCAGGGAAAGCATTTATTCCAACAAAAAGGCTGCTGCTAGCCAAGGCAAAAGCGATGCTTCAGAGACCACAACAAAGCCTTTTTACTGCTGAAGCGTTTAACACCACAACCATCCAGAAGAGAAACACCGCTTGGCGCAGAGACGAGCTGCGGCAGCTTGACAAGCCTGATCGCGGGGCGCGCTCCACAGCATTCCCTAGCACGGCGGCTCCAGCTTTGCCGCCCTACCAGGGACCAGCTCAATCTCCCATCTCCGAAAGCCCGCCCGCGGCCA